CACACACACACACACACACACACACACACACACACACACACACACACAAGCGTAAATAGCTCACATCTTATAATTCCTCTTTATAAAAGTTAGAACTATTTTTTTTCTATTTGCAAGGGTTGTAAAAAAATAATTTCTTTTTAGAATTTCCAAGTTCAAATTTGGACGCCACATTGTTAAATAATCCTGTCTGTCTCAATAACATTTTGCAACTACAGACTGATTAAAGTTTAATCAAAACTTAGGATTTTGAATTTCAAAAACAACCTTAAATACATGCTTGACACATGTTTTGTTATAGTGTGATCGTATAGGGTCATGGCTTGTGTTTGACCTCCATTGGTTTTCTCAGTAACACTCTTCTGTTGTGTTTTTCTCCCCACCCCCCTTCAATTGTCTTAGCCTTGCCTGTTGCTGCTCCTGTCCCGTGGAACACGGCCCAGAGTGAAAAACTCCAAGTTCGGCTTCATGCCGGTGAGATGGGCCAGCCGGTTGGACATGGCAAAAAAAGCAGTGATGGCCGCAATATCCCAGGCATCCTCCCGATCAAAGCCAACCTCCTCCAGAGCCTGGAAGTGCTTGTCTGTGATGATTTCGCAGCGGCACACGGCCATCGCAAAGTCCAGCATGGCTATCTCTCGAGGGGCAAGATCTGCAGTCTTGTAGTTAATAATGACCTAAAAAGCAGAGAGAGGATTTATTAGGGAMAAAAAACATTACTAATACTTTTTTAAAGCCAGTATGTGTAAGTCTGGGTGGAGAATAATCAACAGCCTATTGCTGTTTGGTATGCTAGTGAAGAGTCAGTCATCCAAATCATGATCAACTAAAAAAAGGCAAAAAATAAAAAAAACCAAGACAATCAAACGTACAATTACAGTATACACCCATTCCATGACCTCCCAAAAATCACAAGGAAGGAACACCACTCACACCTATTGTCAGCATAACCCAGTGAACCAATCAATGAGCAGCAGYAGCTGTCGTCAAATCAGGCCGAGAGCAGCCTGGCTCGGATAAAACCATAGGTCTTGGGGACTCCAGGGCCTTGAGGTGCAAAAAGGCCTATAGAGAACTCCATGGACRAARTCAAACCTCTGAAGTCGGTCGCCAGGCAAAACTCTTGTATCTTTTTATGACCCTTCACTTTTCACTTGCAAACCCACACCAGAGGCAGTCAGAAAGCATCTTCAACAAGATAGTGACCTTAACAACAGGACTAATTTCACTCTGTACCAGATCTGTACAAGGGGTGTAAGAAAATATTAATACACTAAAATATCATGAAATTTCATTTCCTGATACTGTATCGATTCTCTAAAGCATGGTATTCATTTTTAATTAAGGCTTAAAATGTAAACTTTCATGCCAGCGATTCATTCTGATGTTGTGCCTACAACCACTAGGTGGCAGCAGTCAGCCATTTGGCTTCTCCTCTACTGAGAAACCAGAGATTATAATTAGGGTTGCACATAAAATTTTTGGTCAGGTTCTCAGGGGAGAACCTGGGGTTGTTGCTTGGTGCTCATATTTCCCTAAACTCATTTATCTAGAGGGGTGTCAGGGCATTTATTATCTCCCTGTTCTGGTTTATGACGCCTTCTATCAGCTGGCAATGTCTCCGGACATCATGCCAAATCAGAGTTTTTTTATTTTGTTTTTTTTACTCTGCATACATTTTGTAAACTACCTAAGTGGCCATTGGGCTGACCCATGGACATATGTCACCTCAAACTGAACATTTCATGTTTAAATGTATGTGAGATGACACATGACTCTGAGATGTACAACTCCTGTAGACCTTCTAGGTCTTTGGCCTTGTTTAAACCACATTGCCACACTCTCCAGACCAAGCAGCAAATATCTGTCTTTTGCACAGAACAAATGTTTTATTTGTTAGACTGATTTCTTTTTTAAAGACTATTTTATCCAAAAATATTATATTTAGATCGTTTCAGCTCATGTAATCATTTAAAATAATTTATTCTTCGTATTTTATCATTTATTGAATTMCATTTATCCCAGAACAGCTGTGTCACAGTATGRTTCTAAATATAAACAWKTTTAGCACATCAAGAACCTTGTTCTTATCATAAAATTGTGAAGAATGAAATTTGTGGATCTTTCTGATAAATTAAAATAACATTTAAWWCTYWTTYWCCTAKAGKYAWGTTTTTATTTATTTATTTTTTTTGGAAGGGGGGGGGGKGATGTTAAACAGACTCATCTTTACTTTGAAATGGGGCAAATAAATGTTCTTCTGTTAGAGATAATATGGTTTAGAAGAACTCAAACAGTGAATCTCACAGAAAGACTCAGCCTGCGCGTGCCAAGGCGCGTTCCCATCTCTCAGGAGGAGAGTTTAGTCACTGACGCAAAGTTGGACAGATCTGTTCGATAACAACGCTCTCAACATATATTTAATATAAAGTTAGGTTTTAAGGACCAAAGTCTCTGGTAGTTCAGGAGCAAAGTGCAGGAGGAGATGTCAGGACTGATCGCTGCAGCCGCAGCTTCCACTATTTCTGCTGAAAACAGCTCTCACTGGAAGTCCCGCCCTGCTCTGCTCTGATTGGATAAAACGGCTCTGGAGTTCGTCTGATTCGTTGAAAGCAGTGTCCGTTTAATCCATCAGGGTCCCGCTGCCCTCCTCTGACAGAACGATGATCCAGTCACACCAGTGAGGCTGGATTTTTGTTTGTTTTGTTTGTTTTTAAGAAATCAGGTCGCATTTGCGACCCTGCTAGCTGTTGTTTTCACAATCTCAGGTACAATCTTAGGTATGCAAGGGAACTTTATGACATTCCATCTGGTGCGCTTTTTTTTTTTTGATCGCGCACCTGCACACCGCTTATGTGCAACTCTGATTATAATGCTAGCTCATATGTTAGCATTGGGAATAAACATTAGTACTCATTAGTAAATGGCTTGAACTTATATAAAGCTTTATCAGGTCTCTAAGGACTGCAAAGTGCTTTACACTTTAATCACGCACCTGTTCATACACATATTCATACACTGATGGTGGTAAGCTACAATGTAGCCACAGCTGCCCTGAGGCAGACTGACTGAGGTGAGGCTGCCATGCAACCTCTGACCACCACCGGCAGGCAAGGTGGGTGAAAGATCTTGCCCAAAGACACAACGACTGAGACGGATGGCTGAATCTTGCTGGAGTCTCTGAGAAACTCAAAATCAAACACAAGATCCTGATAAATTTAAACCCAACAGGACCCTCTGACAGAGGCTGCACCATCCTAGGGACAGAACCCCCAAAACCTAAGATGAGCAGTGTGGTATCTGCAGTTCAGTGCAGAGGAGAATGTTCAGACCTCTACAGTATATTGGAGAGACTTAAACTCTCCACAGATGCAAGGCTACCTCTTCAGGACAAGACTCAGCTACACCTACATCTCAAGAATAAAGGAGATTATTTTGAGAACCAAAATGGTCATAATAGGGACAGGGGAGGGGGTGAAGGCACTAAAGATCATACCTGTTCAGAAAGACTGGGTTTCTTGGAGTAGATGCGGTGCAGTGCACTGTGGGACACCACACAGTAAGGACACTTGTTGTGAGTGCTGGTTACGACTATAATCAGCTCACGGTCTGCTTTGGTTAACTGTCCTGCAAGACAATAAATACAGACTGGTTGTGAAATGAGTAAAACATTAACTCATTTATAAAACATTTAAGAGTGGGGCATCAAAGCTGGCTGCGGCCTAAACACACATTTCTGTTTAGAGCTTAAAAATATCAAGTGAAGGACTGCATACTGTCCACTGTCTTCAGAGTTTATCAGTGTAAATGATCTTATAATGTTGTAGGCATGTTGGTTAGTATTAGGTCTTTAATGGCCCTGCTGCTTCTAAATAACTGAACTTGTTTTCTGAGTTACTTGAAAAAAAAAAAAGCTTTTCCAGTAGAATAAGAAAACTAAAACACAAACCTGTCTCCTTGTTCATCAATTCATTGTAATACGCGAAGAAGGATCTGAACTCTGCTGGTCTGTGAGAGAGGACTTTGAAGATATTAGGCAAAAAGCCTCCCTGTAGAGCAAACATTATCATTTAGCAAATGGATCATTAGAAAACCGTGTAAAGCTGGTAAAAACCTAATACCGTCATGTGTTTGTTGTGTGAATGTTAATTCAGCATTTACACTATTGTTTTTCTGTTTTATTTTTCCCGTAAACCTTTGAAACTTTGAATTACCTCTGCATACGGTTGCAGTTATTTATAATTAAACATTTGGCTCATTCGGAAGATTAGTGCTGTTACTTTTGAAGCTTTTAAACTTTTCAAATTGTTTAACTTCATGTAAACTTCCTCAGAAATTCACATTAAAAACATTGTCCTCTCAGAAAAAAAAAATACATTCTTAAAAGGCACAGTGTGTAGGATTTTGTCAATTCTTTTAGCCGAAATTGAGATAATCACTAATGACAATAATAAAAAACATGTCTAATCATTGCAGACAAAGACCTTGTTTTATTATTTTTACCTTATAAAAAGCTGTTTATATCTCCATGGTCGTGGGTCGCCATTACAGGCAGCCGCCATCTTGCACCGCCATCTTGTCTACGAAGGCTCATGAAGGACAAACTGCGGTGGCGGCGTCAAAAAACGGTTTTAGTTGTAATACTATAAATGTAATATTTGTTGTCTGTCATTGTAGCTGGGATAATTTTACTTATTAAAGCTCATAATCTTACCACTTGAAACATCACTAGCCCTGAAGCTGCTGGTAGACATCGCGGTTGGAATTATCAAAGGTTTTTGACACCTGAGAGACACCGTTAGATATTTTTGCGTTTGGAAGCAGGGGTGGGGGTGGGGGGAGGACCAGGGAGGATGATTCAACCACTCAACCACTAGATGTCGCTGAAAACAACAAATCCTACACACTGTGCCTTTAAGAAAGATTTAAATCTCAATTTTTTTCCTCATTAAGTACTCTTATCTTTAGCAACAATTCTGCTGTCTTTACCTTTTAGTTCACAGCTAGAATTTTGCCACTAGCTAACTCTTTGCTACTTTAAACTTTCAGCTAACCTTTAGCTAATTTTATACCTTGTTTATAATATGTTCTGCTACTTTTAGCTACTAAACTATTTTTAATAGAACTCTTTACTCTTTGCTAATATCAGCTTTTTAGCTAACACTTACCTATTTTGCTTACTTATGTTTTAGCCAACATTTAGCATCTTTTGGCTGAGGTTTTGCTTATTTTAGTTACTAATATCTGCTATGTATTTAAGTTTTTTGTTACCCTGTTGCAACTCTTACTATTTTTAGCCACCATTCTATTTGCACATTTGATTTTAGCTTCTATTTTATGCCAATTTTGCTGTTCTTTTAGCTTCTGTGTTGTTTTTGTTTTACCTCATTACTCAGTTCAGCTTTGCACAAATTTCAATTTAGTCATCATGAACTCAGCATTTTTTATTTTATTTTTGCAGATAATAAAACGAAACTGTTCCAGCTCACCTTCTTCTCTACTTCCTCCATCATCTCCACGATGTCGTAAGGCAAATCCTTCTTGTAAGGAATGGGRTATCGGCTGACTTTCTCCGTGGGATGTTGGTCGCTGGAGGACAGTCTGTTCCCTGCAGCCACCTTCCCCCTGAACAACAGGCGGCCCGACCGGAGCGACGCCTGAAAAGAAAACAAAACAACTACATAAAAAAAAAAAAAAAAAATTAGGGCCACAAGCGCAACACAGAAAGGACTACTTACAAGTTGTGTAGACACAGGAAGACGAAGCAATTTGGAGACGAGGTTAATCGAAGCCATGTCGTTAACAAGCGGAAGAGAGGACCAGTCTGGCAGTAGTTTTAGCTTCAGTAAATTAAGCTAATCTCCTGTTTTAACGTAATAACATATAAGTAAAAACTTTTTAGCTGAATTCGAGCTGCGTCGGTAGTTATTATAACTTCAAGGCAAGCCAACTTGCGATAGGTTGCACGTTATMCTTCGTCGTGGTAGAGTTACGAGATTCTTTGCTTTCCAACCTTGAAGAAAATGTTGTTTGTTTCCCCTCGCTCGACGCTGTCGCTTCGTTTCGTCTCTGAAGTTATGAGTCCAGAGAAAAGCACCCAATCAAAGTGAAGCTTTAGATCACGCCTGTCATTTCAGGCAGTTTTTGATCGCCCTCCTGCACCAACACCTCTCCTCCGCTAGTGGGCGCGCTGTTCAGGCACGGGCAGTTTTTCTGTTGTTGTCAAAACGCGTTCATGAATAAATTAAATTGTTTAGTTGCTTAAATGCGATTGGGTTCATTTCAAACACATTAGTACTACAAAAAATATTCTATTGCTAATTTTATTTCAACGAGAACAAAGCACGAGCAGAAGACAAGTTCATGAGTTGCCCCTTGACCCGGAAGTGGTTTTGCTGCCCACATTATTATCGTGAGACTTCCATAATTCGCGTTCGACGCAGCGCGACCATAGCACAACAACTTGGATGTCTTTTTAAAGATATACTGTTAACAGAGGAATTCAAGTTTGTTGCTGAAATGTTTTACCACGTAAGTATGCAGTTTACTTTCGGCTGGAGGTTTGTGAGCGATTTTGCAGCATTTATTAGTATCTTTTTGTGTAGAACTGGGCTAAAATTACTTCATATATCATAACTTGTTTTACAAATACGAGTAGTTGTTTCCATTTATTAAAAATATAGAATATTGAAACATTAACTCACGTACAGCTAATACGTACAACTATTAAAGATTTTTATTTTCCCCCAGATTTCTCTGGAGCATGAAATCTTGCTACATCCCAGGTATTTTGGGCCAAATCTACTCAACACCGTGAAGCAGAAATTGTTCACAGAAGTAGAGGGTACTTGTACTGGCAAGTGAGTATTTATATTTGGTTTGATTTGTCTAAAACAATTTATAGCTTTGGGTGTATAATTTCTGTGATCATGAACGCATAATGAACAGACTTGAATAAAGTAACTTATCATTAACACTAATTGTTTGTATTTAAAATTACACTTATTTTTATTAATCACTTTTTCCCCCCATCTATTTTCTAGGTATGGCTTTGTCATTGCTGTAACCACTATTGACAACATCGGGGCAGGTGTAATTCAGCCAGGCAGAGGTTTCGTCCTCTATCCAGTCAAGTACAAGGCCATCGTCTTCCGCCCGTTTAAGGGAGAAGTTGTGGATGCTGTTGTCACTCAGGTTAACAAGGTGAAGTTATTTGTTTTTAAAGATAATATTACCACACTGATTGTTACGCGGTTTTAACACAGACTTTCTCTTCACTATTTGGATACAACAAATGAAAGATGTCCAGATGACCTTGTTTTATGTACAGCACTTCCCTAGAATAGACAACAACATAGGAGTTTTGAATACATAGGCCTGTTGAAATTATTACACAATCAGTTTTAAAAGCCCATAACTATTTTGCACAAGCTTAACAAAATAATTTCAAACTTTTTTTGCTCTTGCAGGTTGGATTGTTCACAGAAATTGGTCCGATGTCTTGCTTCATCTCTCGCCACGTGAGCCAGTTTATTTATCTGCTGAAGCTGCCCACATGACTTTTTATGTTTTTTTTTATTATAATTGCTTTTTTTTCTATTTCGCAGTCCATTCCTTCAGAAATGGAGTTTGACCCTAACTCTAATCCACCTTGCTACAAGACAGTTGACGAGGTTGGATTTTGTTTTCTTGTTCATTACATTTCTAACCTTGTGCCACAAAATAAAACAATAATCTTGAAGAAAAGTGTTTAAAGGACCTTAGCATCTGCACAGAGAATAAAAATTAATTATGACCTAAAAATAAACAGTATGTTCTGCTTACAAAGTTTTTGACCTCCTGTTTTTGTTTTGTTCCGGTAGTTTTAACATTGCTCTTATTTTTTTAAGGACATTGTAATCCAGCAAGATGATGAGATCCGACTGAAGATTGTGGGAACAAGAGTTGACAAGAATGATATTGTAAGTATTTTTTTTAGTAAGGCTGAGTATGTATTAATTTTGTACGACCTGCTAGCAGGAAGAGTGGAAAAGGCTTCCAGTTACCCTGTAACATTAAGTTGACTGAAATATATTTATTTATTTTTATCAAATTCCCTGTCTGGTTTCTGACTTACAACACATTGTATAGGAACATCTAAACTTAAAAGCCTATCATTCCTAGAAGGAAGAAATGATTGTCTTTTTGATGCCAGAGATTTATTTAAGTTGTGACAGGAGTCAAAACAAAGCAGGAAGTAGAATATGGACCCAGCTCATGAACTGAGACACAGCCTAAACCTTGGAGGCTCATGATTTGTGCAGATTGTGACACACGAGTCAATCAACTTCCAGGAAGCACTCGCCATCAGAGCGTTTACGAACCTCAGAACCAATCACTGACAGGGAGCTTCTCCGCTCATATCTGCCCCAGTCCATAGTTTTTAGATTAGATAAACTTTATTGTTCCCGAGGGGCAATTTGCTTTGCAGACAGGGAAAAAAAACTGCAGGTGATAATAATAAAAAAAAGTAGTTCAGACGTCACAACATAAAGGGCTAGTGATTCAGTAGACAAAATAAATGTTTTTATTTGAAACTAGTCATAATATTCTTTTGTCCACAAATATGAACTGTCTGCAGTCAGTCATAACATATCATTTTTCATCCACATTTTTTKCAGAAATTCTTTGTTTTAAACTAATAAAGAAAGATGACTATCGGGCTTTTCAATTTGAAAATGTCTAAAAATAGATGCTGCCACTCAAGACTAAAGTCATTTTTAGACCCAACCCCTCATGTGTTTTATTATTTAGTAAAGAAACTCATTTAACTTGTGCAAAAACATGAAACAGTTTGCCACTGTCAGTTTAAGCACAATATCCATTTGTTGTTGTTTTTTTTCAGTTTGCTATTGGATCTCTGATGGATGACTATCTAGGTAAGTTTCATTTAAATCACAATTCATTTATATACAGCTTGGTCTACTATTAGGCTTATTTATGCTGTGCCAAATACTCCGTTCTTCTCTGTAAGAAACAAGTAGTTTGTTATAGCTGTAGCATTTTTTGTGCAGCAGTTTATAGTGGTTTGTTGCACTGTGTGATGTTTGTTTTCCCTCAATGTAACTTGTTGGTAAACTTGCCTTCTTTATATAATTTCAGGTCTTGTGAGCTGATTTGTCTCTGTGGAGCGCATCTGATGGGACATTTTTATGTAGTAAACTATATGGGTTTTTTTGTTCATAATATTTTTCTACACTTCAGACTTTTGTTGATTTTTATTCAGACTGCTGTAAAAGTTCAATGCCGTGGAACACTGCATTTGTTTGTAACATGATGATATACAATACAGGACCAATCCACGGAAATGTTTGTTTTTCTTTTTGTGAAATGCATAATTTCATTTTTGTTTATTTTATTTCTGGACTGAAATAAAGTCTTTTATTTTGTAGAACAAAGTTGTAGTCTTGTCTTATTTTTTGTGAAACGTGGCAAGGCCTCAGTGGAATTTTTTTTTTTCTTTTACAAACACGCAGTGTGAACGAGGACGCGCACGTCTGGTGCGCGTAAATACGTCAGTGGAGCGCGCCCTCGTTCTTTCTTTCTCTCGTCCTGAAGATGGCGGCAGGGGTGAGTAAGATGGAGAAACAGCTAGTCGAGGAGCTTTATTTAGAATTCACGACAACAATCCAGTTTAAATCGGAGCCATCTGCACTCCAATATATTTTCCTGTTTAACAAACACCATTATTAATCAGTTTAGTGGGTGTTTGATGGTTTATTTACTAAAAGCCATGCAGTATTGGCTACGAGTTAGCTTCTTGCTATCTTACCGATTCATTGAATTGCTAACTCCTGGTTGTGCCACGTTACCCTGACTGATAGTGTTTCCTATGTCGTGTTTTTACGTTTCAGTTGGTTTTGCCCAATTTTTAGACTAAAGCTCACTTAATCTTGCCTAATGTTTGCTCAGTATTAAGAGGTTAGTTATCTCTGAAGTAGTTTTATTACCAGAATTGATAGCTGTTTTAGCATAAAGCAAACTGAAAGCCACACGAGCACAAGTCGTTTACTGACTATTAGCAAATGGAAGGTCAGTTTGAACTGTGTTCAATTTGATTTGTCTTTTGCTCAGTCATCTTGAAAATAGCCCATCTGCAGTTGGTTCTAACGATCCTATTTAACAGGTTTGCTGCAACACCAGTCATACTATTGTCAGTGTTAGAGATGTCACAGTATTGCTGATTACAGCTGTTTACTTATCCAAATGATTTTCCTTTGTCCTGAGTTTATAAAGTCGAATGTGTCTTAGCAAAATAACTTGTAGATTAAAAATGTATTCTCTTTCAGACTCTCTACACATACCCAGAGAACTGGCGGGCCTTCAAGGCCCAAATCGCAGCTCAGTACAGCGGCGCTCGCCTCAAAGTTGCCAGCAGCTCTCCTGCCTTCACCTTCGGGCAGACAAACCGCACCCCTGCCTTCCTTAACAACTTTCCTTTAGGCAAGGTGAGTGGAAACTGGTTGAAGGAGTCCCAGGTTGCATGAAGCAATCTAGGTTAAGCTTTCCAACTTTTATTATTGTATAGCTAACATGTTTGGTCACTTGCTTCTCTGAATTTCAAAGCGTTCAAATTTAACTTGTATTTTGTTACTGTGTGTAGGTGCCTGCCTACCAGGGAGATGATGGTTTCTGTCTGTTTGAGAGTAATGCCATTGCTCACTATTGTAAGTCTGAACCGCATGTTTATTGTTGTAAATTGTTTGTGAACAGTTCAGTTGTTATTCAGACACACCTGTCAACAAGAGACATTTGATTGAAAAGCAGTCATAACTGGTAAATGTCCTGGCATATTTGCTGCTTCAGTGTTTGTGTCATTTACTGTCTGAACCTCTGGTTATTAGGGTTGGGCAATATTGGCAAAAAAAATTATCACAATTAATTGTGGTATTTAGCCGATGACAATTAATCCCCCAGAGTCCCTGGACACCCTTATATCCTAGTCACATGACCAATTTATAGGGAGAAAATTGGCTCTTCGTAAAAATCTGTTCCAAATTGTGTCAAAATTACAGACTTCAGGCTGTACATCAAACTTTAAATTGTGTTAATAGATAAATAAATTACACAACTTTTTTTAATGTTGGTCACAATCAGAGAGGAGCACCAAGCGGTTAGTCTGCCTGGTGGCATTAATCTTATTAATTGTCAAGTGCCAAAAATTAATCGATTTAATGTTTTTCTGACGATTAATTGCACACGATACGATTATGCCCAACCCTACTGGTTATGTCGATTTGGGGGATAAAGGGGCAAATGCTTTGAACATCTTGTGATCACAGTTTGGTTAGTCAAAATTGTTTTTTTGTTTTTTTTGTCACTTCAATAGAAAACAAATCCAAATATTATTAGTTTATTTCTTCATCATCAGTGAAAAAATAAAAAAAATAATTAAAATAATAATAAAGGATAGAAAATGTTGTATGTGTGTGTTGAATTTTTTGTGGCCTGACCTTTTTTATGAATTAATGCTTTTTATTCTGAAACAAATTCCTCATTCGATTGGAAAAGTTGTTCCATATATTATCGAACAGTTTTGGTATAAATGACCTAATTGGCTTCAATTAATATCTAACCTTGTAATTCCAGTGAGCAATGAAGCCCTGCGTGGTGCCACTCCTCAGGCTGCTGCTCAAGTACTGCAGTGGGTTAGCTTTGCTGACTCAGAGATCATCCCTCCAGCCAGCGCGTGGGTCTTCCCCACTCTGGGAATCATGCAGTTCAACAAGCAGGTATGCAGCTCTGCATGTTTCTTATAATTAAAAGAAAAATACCAATTGATGTTTTAGTAGTGATAGAACGTGGGCTGTAGGTCTGAGTGCAATGCATTTTGTATTTGTGCAAAGTAGTTAATTTTTTTCCTTGGTCTGTACAGGCAACAGAGCAGGCCAAGGAGGACATCAAGAAGGTTCTTGGGGTCCTGAACCAACACCTGAACACCCGCACCTTCCTCGTAGGGGAGAGGGTCAGCCTTGCTGACATCACTGTGGTCTGCTCCATGCTCTGGCTTTTCAAACAGGTTCGACACTCGTAGAGCAGCCAAGCTGTGCTGTTGGCTGCTCACCTGAGCACTGTTAACATTGCTCACATCATTTATTTACAATCTATTGTGCTATTTAAATCAGGATGTGCCCCACGAGGATCTGACATCTGTTTGTTTTGCAGGTCTTGGAGCCTTCCTTCCGTCAGCCTTATCAAAATGTGACACGCTGGTTTGTCACCTGTGTTAACCAGCCCCAGTTCAAGGCTGTCCTTGGAGAAGTCAAACTCTGTGAAAAGATGGCTCAGTTTGATGGTGAGTCACCAGCAATGAAATCAGAGGAGGTACATTACCTAAAGGATGGTTACAAATCCAAAAGACAAGCAGTTGTATAAATAAATAAAACAGATGCCTTTTTGTTTTCAGGCCCTTGCCTGACAATGGTTTCAAATAAGTGATTGCAACATTTCTTTGAATAAGAAGTAACTTTGTTCTGTTCCTCCAGCCAAGAAGTTTGCTGAGATGCAGCCCAAGAAAGAGGCCCCTGCCAAGAAAGAAAAGGGAGGAAAAGAGGCAGCCAAGCCCCAGGAGAAGAAAGAAAAGAAAAAGGAGGAGAAGAAGCCTGATCCAGAGGAGGAAATGGATGACTGTGATGCTGTTTTGGCTGCAGAACCCAAAGCCAAGGACCCCTTTGCACACCTTCCAAAGAGGTAAAGATCTCTATTTAAGAAGCCACAGTGTGTTTTAGGTTCTCATCTTTTAAAAAGCATTAATTGTACATTCTAAAATGGTCTTCTGCAAGTTCTAGTTACAATTATTATTCTCTGTTCATTAAACTTATTAAATTACTTCCACTTGATAAGAGTTCTGGGTTCACAAATAAAGCCCAGTCTGAAAAGCAACCAAACTCTTAAAGGTGCTCTAACAACTCAAATTATGAAGTGGGTCTGTTTAGCTAAATTAGTTGAATGACAGCTCATCACCTTAGTGTCTTTAGGCTCTTGCTACATTTTCTAAGCAGTATTGCTGGACTGTGCATCCTTCATTGTCTTCACCTTGTATATACTGACAGAACATTAATGACTGGATCTTTTCTCCTAAAGCTCGTTTGTCATGGATGAGTTCAAGAGAAAGTATTCCAACGAGGACACCTTGACAGTGGCTCTTCCCCACTTCTGGGAGAACTTTGACCGTGAGGGGTACTCCATCTGGTATGGGCAGTACAAATACCCAGAGGAGCTCACACTAACCTTCAAGAGCTGCAACCTTATTACAGGTGAGACTCAACCTAAACACTGCCATCTAAAAAAAAAAAATCTAAGCTTTATGAGCTTCCATTAGAGAATAATTCCAGGTAACTTGGATTCATGTATTGTTGGTTTGGAGTTGAAATGCTGGCTTAGGTGACTGTCATTTCGACAAAAGCTCTTGTTTTCAGAACAACACAAGTATTCAGTTTTGACTTGAGTTATAAATTTAGTTACAAATTTGACTCCGTTTAGAGGTAACACATTCTTTTCCTCCCTTCTGATTCTAAAGTAGTTGTACAGAGGAGTCCGATATGAACAGTTGAAGGCTGGATGCAGGTCTCATCAATGAAGTTTAACCATAAATGTTGTTTGAAGTACTGTATTAGTCTTAAAGAAAATTTTGTTACACAATACATTTGCACTAATACCTCTGGTTTTAGTTTCAGGGTTGACATTTCTGTCGAATTGAATTGTGAACTAAAAGGCAATTGATTGGCTTATTTTTAATGATGTTTAAACTTGTAGAATCATTTCTAAGTAGTTGAGACCCTAAAATTAATATTTTTGGATTCTGTTTTTACTCTACTTTTACTGGACTACAGTTTAATTTAAAGTGTCCCCTGTCTTTGGGCAAGGCGATGTCCTGTGGTGGCATTAAGTCTTAATCTGACAGGGGAAGAAAAACTCAAGACCCAAATTCATCCCAGTCATCTCTGAATCAGTGAGTAAAGACTGGTTCATATTGAGGTCACATGAGCCAAAGTGCCAAAAATGTCTTGCTGGACAGAAATGCCCTGCAGTCACTTTAGTTTTTGTCACATTTTAGACTAACATAAATTTAGTTTACAATAAGCATTTTGGAAACTAGGCTGCAGTTTGTTACATTATTTTTCTCAAACACCCTAACTGTTTTATGCAGGCATGTTCCAGCGCCTGGACAAACTGAGGAAGAATGCCTTTGCCAGTGTCATCTTGTTTGGCACCAACAATGACAGCAGCATCTCTGGTCTTTGGGTCTTCAGGGGGCAAGAACTGGCCTTCACTGTAAGTATATAAAAGGACTTTGTGTATTCAGTATTAAATCTTTGGAATCTCGCTGCAAAACCTTCCTGAAAAACATTTAAAGTGGCACCGGCACAATTAAAACAATGATAACAGTAGAAAAACAAATAAATGGAAGCTGCTGGGGCAATGGGAAATGTTTAAAAAGCCATTATAGCCTGTTAAGCACACAATTTAATGGTGATGAAAGACACTGGCACATTTGTAGAGATTTCTAGAAAATTGATTAAAAGAAAACACAAAGGCAGCATAGACTCCATTTTAAATTTATTCTGGGTGTAATGAAACAGTTAAGTTTTCTTTGCTATATATTTTTCTTCAACATAAACAAACATGAGAATTTGTTATTGAGTGTAAAGGGTTTAAAATCAGTGTCCCCTGTCATTGGGCAAGGCAGTGTCCTCTCATGGCACCAAGTCTTAATCTGACAGGGGAAGAGAAAGTAAAGGCCATATTCATCCCAGTCAACTCTGTTAAAGTGAGTAAAAGGCTGGTTCATGCTGTGGCCACAAATACATTTCTGAAATTGGGTAGTGTCATCATGTGCTTGTAGTTTAGGAGTTTTGACGTCATGCGTTTGCTGCCAGGGGCCACGCCGCCTTTTGATTTTGTTCTACAAAAATTCATTTATTGCGCCTAATCATAAGAACCGTTGGATTTTATGTTCTAGTTGTTGCTGTGGGCAGATGTAACAATTAGTAAAATCTTGATTCATCTGCTTTAACCCTTGACTGAACAGCATTGCTGTAAATTCCACAGCAAGGAATGTGATGTTATCCACTATTTGCATCAGTTTGTTTTTCACTACGTGCCGTAGTACAGTGAACAAATATTTTGGAAACATTCTCCCGCAAATTCTTTTCATACATGGTTTATTTTCCTTAGTCCACATTTGATAACGTGATGATTGAGCTCCTTCAGTAGAGTGAAGTGCAGTGTGTAATCTAATGTATGCTTTTCATTCTGACTCTTTATTTACCTTCTAGCTGTCTGAAGACTGGCAGATTGACTATGAATCATATGACTGGCGGAAGTTGAATCCAGACAGCGAGGAGTGCAAGACCATGGTAAAGGAGTACTTTGCATGGGAAGGAGAATTCAAGCATGTGGGGAAACCTTTCAACCAGGGCAAGATCTTCAAGTAAAAGGACTGCAAGGCGGTTGAACAAAGGCACTTTGTGCTCCTCCCCTCTGACACTTAAAACTATAGACTTTCAGCCACATGTGCTTACTTTGCTGCAAAAAATGACTTTGGAGGTGTTTGAAGACGAGTGATTAATGTCTCGGTGGCCCCAAAACTGGTTTTCTGTTTTTGACCTGCGAAATAAAGCGTTTCCCTCAATGCCATGTAAGTGATATTTGTTGCGTCTAACCTCATTGTTAAAGTATTCATTGGTTTGGTATGTGAATGTGTTTTCCCCCCCAAATTTCAGTGTGCACGTTCCTTTTGAGTCAGCCGACCGGTGACCCAAATAGTGACGTGGAGCCTCTGAAATGGACCACAGGACTTTAGCTGTTGGGAGGAAATGTCTCTATCAGCGTGCTTCATTGTGTTCTTTAAACCGCTGACAACAATGTGCAAAATACTAGAAATCACTTCTGACACGATCATTCAGCTGCTTCACTGACGATTCATCATATTTGGATCTTAGCAACAAATCAACTTTGTTTAGCTGAGTCACAGTTTAGTTGCTGGATCTAAACATAACATTCAGCTAATGTCTCAGCTGAACTAGCCTCTCACCTGGGCAGTCAGACGAAGGCAAGCTTATGTCATAAACCTGAGTTCTCCATTTGACCAGAAATAGATTTATGAAAAAACTGAACACAAGTTCTAGCTTAAAACTAAACTTAGCTCAAGCAGGAAATTTGTGTTTGGTAGATTTATTTAATGCTTTTTTGGCAATAAATCTTACCATATTAATTACCTTAATTGCACCTTTTAGGTACCAGAAGCTCAAAAATGGTGTCAATAGCAACAAACTTACATTTGGCAGAGATTTGGCAAATACTTCATGTGTGCAGCCCACGAATGCATGTTCCTTACAAATGTGGCACCATGAAAAAGGGAAATCAGGCATATTGTCAAGAAGCATTGTTACAACAAAGAAATAAACTGCCAAACAAATTTCCGTAGTATTTGTGCCAAGTAGAGTTTAATGCAGTGATATGAAAAATATTTTAAGAGCAGCTTTACAACTACAAAAACCTTAAGATAAAATGAGTAAAGTTTGAAGTACTATGACTACAATTTCAAGTTAATGTTTCACTTCTGACAATTCAATGTCCAGCCTTATAAAACTTCTAAGTACTACATTTAATAGAATCCTTCATTTTTATTTGCAGTACTCTGTTCTCCCCTCAGAGGGCAGCCAGAGACTTCATGTTGGAATGTGTAAAATGACTCCCATCCAACAAACTGCGTAGATGAAAATGTGGTCTTTAAAGGAAAGGTTCTTGTTTTGAATTGAAGGTAATGGTTCTAAAATGTACTAACTGCAACATCAAGTACATGAACTTTATCAAATAACTTTATTTTTACCTGTATTGTCCCGCAAAGCAGTTTACCTCGGAAATATTTACACACAGGCGTGAACTTCTTTTCATAGATCTTTTAAAACATCCGCAGAGCTTGAAGCTTTGTGATGTGCTTGACCACTGCAGTCACAAGTTTTAGCAAAAAAGTACACACAGTCTAGGACATGCAAATTTTAGAGTTTTCTTTTTTAGTTTGAGAGGAGATTTAAAAGCGAGTGGTTTGGCCACACCCTGCTCAAATCCTGAAACAAACTGTTTCAGAACTCGCTTCTGCAAGTTGCAGTCCCTTAAGAGGAAGAAGAAATGTTTTCCAATCCTCCCTGGATTGACTGAATGCCAAAAACATTGTTTTTTCCCTTTTGTGTGGATTACGGATACATAAATGTTGTCAGAGTTAATGCTGGGCAGACAAAGCTCTTGACACACCCAACAAACCATATGAAACAGTTTGCTGTAAACCGTTCCCACACCTGCTTCCTGGCCTCTTGTTTCTTCAGTTTAATTCTTTGTTTGCCGTAGCTGCAGGTAAAAAGGAGCACCTGGACCAACCCACACATTAAACTCTGTTTTTAGTTCACGTTATCGTTCGAGCAACTGTACAGTTTAAATATAAGCACGGCGATTTGCTAAATAATCTGCTTAAATTCTAAAAGTTTAGGAGCTTTTGGGAGGATTTTGTGGCTTTTGTCTGAGTCAGACGTCCACACGCGGACGTGTTAGTTGCTAAAGGGAGGACTCTCATCTCAGAGTGAGTCAGATTGGTCATTTTTTCCTACTTACTAAGCATGATTCAGGACCGTTTTGGCATCTCCTGCCATGGTGTTGAATCAGGGCAGCCATTTTAGTTTGTTCTGTGGTCTCATGGAAATCAGAAAATGGAAATGTTCCCACAACAGTCAAGTCCTTGAACACATGACTCACCCATCCTGTGGATCAGTGAGGGCTGTAACTTGAGCAAACAACTTCGCCTTCAGTATTGCGGCAGTTTCAACAAAGCAGGAGGATAACCCTTAGATTGCTCAGAGAGCTGCTGTTGCAAAACGTGTTCCTCGTGCAATCAAATATCTCACTAACGTGGGCATTAAGTTTGGATATTATTCCTAGGCAAGTTTCTTGYGCTTGAAGCAATGTCAATTCTGTATACAATGTCCTTCCGGATCTTTCTAATGAGAAACTTCATATTTAAAAAGGCAAAGCTAAGAACAATGAAGCAATCTCATGCCAACAGCAACATTCTTTTCCCCGGTTCTGCCAGCCATCTTTTTCTGGTTTTGTTTTTCTATTGACCGCACACCCACTACTTATTCCTTCCACTTGTGCTCTCGGGACATTCTTCGACGTCCTTCCACGAGGAAGGTGGTGGGAGGTGCGGGAGGTCTTAAAAGTAGTTGCAGCAACATGGGAGTGCTGGTGAGGGCTGAACAGAGAGAGAAGCTGTTTTGTTCAGCCACACAAGGACCCTGTGTGGCTGTCAGGCCTCAGTAGGAGCTTTAGGCATGGTACGCATGTGCTGAGCATCTGGTGGTGCTGGGGCGCATCTGGAAAAGGGAGAGGAAGCCGACGAAACGACAACATAAAAAAAGAGGAGTGTCAGGGACTGCATTTGAACAACTTTTTAAAAAGTAAAACTAAACATCGATGCTAAAGCTACGGACGCTTTCATGTTTTTATAGGACATTAAAATTAGGAATCAATCAAAGGTGCTCACATCTTCAAATGTGTTTCTTACGTGCATTTTCCTCGTCCCCACCAAAAGGCGAAGGTCGAAGATGTCTTTGTCCATGTTTGCGAGCTTCATCGCATGTCTGTTAGCAAAAAAAAATCTCAGGAACCACTGAACAAATTTTATTGAAACGTGCAGAAACAGCTCACTGAATGCACTACAACTGATTAACCTTTGGATTGAACTTGATTCAAGATGGCTGCCACAACCAACTGACCTTAAAACAACACATAAATGACTCAAACTCAGTAAATCATATGGATATTGTTTTAAAATTTGGTGTGGTAGTAGCTGAAACTGATCCTCATAATATAATCTGAGTGCTAACAGGTTTGCCATGGTCTTTGTTTAAAATGTTGGTGTTAAGAGTCAGTTATTTCATAAACCATTGGGGTTATTTTAATGAACCTTTCATGAAATAATCATTGGATGTACCTTTATGACTCAGAATAACTCCCACAAATACCTGACTTTAGAAAATACAGTGGCTATGATACAGTCATTCTGATATTGTTCTAATATTTAGTGATTGTAGCTAAATGTCATTCACTACACCCTCCAACTGTTACTTATTGTACAAAATCTTTGTTTAATGGGAACATATGCAAAAATCCACTTTTTGGATGTTAGATGCATTTTGTTGCATACTTGGAGTCTCTACGAGTGCAGAATATTGGATTATTTTTAGTTTCTCCCTGTGCTTTTTTATATTCTACAGGTCCCCAAAAATAGCATTTTGTGATAAAGTTCATTATTTTCTGTAATGTTCTGATAAACATTAAACTTTTATATATTTTAGATTCGTTGCACACCAACTGAAGTAGTTCAAGCCTTTTATTGTTTTAATATTGATGATTTTTGGCAAAAAAGTAAAGAAAAACCAAAAATCCCTATCTCAAAAAATTAGCATATCATGAAAAGGTTCTCTAAACGACTTATTAACCTAATCAGAATCAATGAATTAACTCTAAACCCTGAGGAAGATTGTGGGCCGATCCCAGACCTTGGGGAACCTGCGGAAGCAGTGGACTGAGTCTGGAGTACAAACTTCCAGAGCCACCGTGCACTGGCGTGTGCAGGAAATGGGCTATAGGTGCTGCATTCATTTTACGAATCTTTGCATCCACATCAAATTTCCATTAAATGGTTGTTCTGGCAGAAATATGATGTTCCTGCTGAAAGTGTCCTAATCTGCTCTGTGAAGGCTGCTGCTGTTATTTGTGCCTGCAAATAAGCACAGGATTTATGTAAATAAGTTTAGTGGAAAATTAAATCTGGGAAATAAATTGTTTTAAACCCTGAAAGGAAAGGAAGAAGCGGGTATAGATGAAATTGTTTTAAAATAGTTTTTGCATAAACTGTTATAAAATGTTTGTGATTAGAGTTACAGATCATTTGGGTCTTAGCTCCTTTTAGACTAGCTGTTAGCTTGGTAACCTGGTCAGATTTAAACTCTATTTCTCCAAAGTGAGGTCAAAGAGCTATCTACAAGTAAAATGTTATTAGTTCCTAAGTCTACAGGTTTTTCATTTGAAAGTTTAATGTATTCTGTTAGTCTCTTTGGCATTCCAGCTCTGTCACAGTTGAAAATTTAGTATGTATTTAATGCAAGTTCTAGACAGGAAAAAAAAGGTAGTTGTTTTTCAAACACTAACATCACGCATTCCAAAAGGAATGACAAGATTGCCGCTAGACTTGTGCGCACACACAGACAGAGCGTTGTGGAGACAAGTCATAACGGAAAACTTAAGAGAGTGTTACTGTTTTCAGTTGGTTTGAGGGACGTCTTCACATGGACACAAAAACACGGACACTGAAACCACACATGTGCGCTCCCACCCTCATCATATCTTTATGGGGATCCCTTGAGCTTCAAGCCATTCTTAGACTCAGAACATTTCAGCAAAACAGATCCGTCAAAATCTGAGAGTTGCCTGACCTTACATACTCTGTTGCATTTTAAGACACAGCTAGGGACGCAGATGCTTAATAGGAGCGAGTATAAATTCATATTTGGTGTTAGCTTTGAAAAATTAACTTGAACATTTCTTCCCATTAGAGTATTTAAAGGGTGTGAGCTGAACTT